AACATGAGCCTGCAGGCTACTTTTGCTGACTGCAGTTTGGCAGTTCAAACCTCACCAGGCTCAAGGTTGACTCAGCCTTCCATCCTTCTAAGGTGGGTAAAACGAGGACTAAGATTGTTGGGGGCAATATGCTGACTCTGTAAACCACTTAGAGAGGGCTGTAAAGCACTATAAAAGCACTATAAAGCACTAAGTGCTAGTGCTATTGTCGTTAGTGATATCCATGATGCAGGTCTTCTTCACATGTAGCAAGGAGTTTGGGTCTATCAAGCAACATTCCTGGAGGAGGAGAATTGTGGAAGCCATCATGAGCTCTTCCTTTTCTTCATTTCCAGTCCTTTGATTTAGCTGAAGACTGAACCTTTAAAAGTGCCTTTTAAAGCTTGCTTTTTACATTTTTAGGTCTTACCTGTTTGTACTTTTAGGAACCAACTCTCTTTTTCTGTATATATCTTAGCTTGAATTTCTATGTATTCTTTTTTTCTAAACCTATTGTATTTTATCTATTTTCATTCTCATCCCAATTTATCTTGCTAGGTTCCATTTCCACATTACTATTCTTCACATTATTTCTTCCTCCTTAGTATTAATTCTACTTTTGTTTCCATAATTAGTCTTTGATTTCTGAATTTCTTGATCTTTATTCTCCATGCACTTTCCTTTCCTTCTTTACCCAAATACTGAGAATTCTACTGCCTGTATTGATACATCTCCGCTTTTATTTATCCTTTATTTCTTGACTGCTTTACAGAATTATTGTATCCTTAAAATTTATTATGCCTTCCCTCACTTCCTTCTCCCTAGAATCCCTTGCTTCTTTCGGCATCTCTCCTTCCAAGTGTTTGCTTTATGGTGTTGGTTGTGATTAGGTTTTCCTGGTGTTTCTTCCAGATATTCTTGTGGTTTCTTCCAGGAGAGCTATTGATTGGTTTCCCTGACTTAAAACAAATAACTTCTTCCTGAGAACAGTATAGGACAAAAGGTTGAGAGTTTAATTCTCAAGGTTTTAACTCTTCGACTTGGATCTGCATTCCCCTGTTCTTTCTCCTCTTTTTTATTGGCAATATCATCGTAACCATCACGTGCAATTCTAAACTCTATTAAGAACTCAAGTTTTTAAGGAGCATATTTGTCATACCAGTTCCTTGAAATATCATCAGTCCCATGACATCCTTTAAAAAACATTTTTTGACAGTCACTGTTGCAGGGAAGGTGAACACATTCTTTTGCAATTGAAAAATAAACCATTAACATTCTTTCTTCTATACAGCTGTGGTCAGGTTTGCAATTCAAAATAACAGAGGGATATTTTGCTGAGCTCAGATCTATCATCATAATCTGTTTGACCGTTATTGCCAGGAACTGCATGATTTCATTTTGAATTGTTTTTCCAATTCAAGTATGCCTGTTTCTTGGCCAGTGGCTTTTATTAGATGCCCACGAGTTCATCATCAAGGTCAGCTTCACCTCAGAACTTAAGGATGTCTCCATTGCTTCAGTATATACAGCTGAATTTTAGTGTCACAAAGGGCTGGTTTTAGAAGCAAGCATTTTTTTTTTTTTTTACAGTGGCAGTGAGTCTTTTCAGAACATCTCTCTTTAATGCTGAGATCAAGTAATTCTTTCATATATGTATTTTCCAAAGCACCAAAAGGCAAACAAGAAACAATGGTTGGAAACTAACCAAGGAAAGAAGCAACCTAGAAATAAGGACAAATTTCCTAACAGTGAGAGAAACTAACCAATGGAACACCTTGCTTCAGAAGTTGTGAGTGCTCCATCACTGAAGGCTTTCAAAAAGAGGCTCAACAACCCTCTGTCTGAAATGATAGAGGGTCTCTCGCTCAAGCAAGGGGTTGGACTAGAAGATCTTCAAGGTCCCTTTTAACTCTTATTGTTCTATGAAAAGGAATGCTTTCTGAGAGTTGCTGTTTTCTCACCGCTTGCCAGATTTTTCTAATCCTTTGTCCTTGTGGAGCTCTGTGTGGCTGGAACATTGGACTGGTAGAGTTAGCGATAAAACCAGTACGCAACGTTCTGGTTTCGGGGGGCAGGTTGAGTTATGAGTTAGTATGAGTTATCAGAGGGATTTCCTGTCACTACAATGTTGGATAAAAATGTTTTATTTTCATTGCCCTTCAGAGAACAAAAACATTTTCACTTCATGTGGCCAATACAGCTGAAAAATATCCTACAAGATCTTGAATCATCTGGGGCTAAGAAATAAAAATTGTTGTTTTGTGCATTTCTACTACTCTCTTCTGTGGTCTTCAATTTTCTTCAAGGATGTGTATACAATATGATATAGATATAAATCTATTTGAGTTATGGGCACTGCAGAAGCTGCCAAATTACCTGGAACATTACATGTCTCCTCATCATTCATTTCCTTATTGGGCATAGAAGGCTCATTGCGCATATTTGTGTTATTGTATCTCAAGGCAGCTCCTTCCTGTTCAGGAAGAAAATAACTTCCTTCCTTCCTTTCTTTTTTTTCTAAAGGCTGCCCCAAATGGGCATTTCCTTCCTGTACTCTTAGGCGACTGGTATTCCGTACAATGGCTCTGAACACTAAACTGAGGAGACAAATAACCAGGACCTGTATGAGGGAAGCCATTAAGTCCTGAAGAACCTGAAGAATCACTGTCTATTCTCCCTTAGTTGCAATCAGAGAAAGCAAGAAGTCCCTCAAGATGGTGTTCACAGCCCTTATTATGTGTAATGTTTGTATCTCAGGTGAGCAAAGGTGCGTTAGATCCAGAGTGACCACTAACAGGTAAAGCAGAGGCCTCCAAACTTGGCAACTTGTGGACTTCAACAAAGTCTTAAAGTTGCCATGTTTGGGGACCTCTGAGGTAGAGCGCAGAGGATTTGAGCAGAGGATCCTTGTCTCCTTCAGATCTGAATGCTCCCCATCCCTACTCCATATTCAAGGGATGGCAGAGAAGCACCATTGGGTTCTTCCTTCTCTCTGCTCACTTTGCAACCCTTGCTGCTTTCTGTTTTCCTCCTCTGCTCTCTTCCATGTCTGATGTCTCCTATGCTCTTCTTCTCCTCGCATCTCTGGGCCTCTGAGGTAAAAAGTGTATGAACGCACCAGCAGGAAACAGTCTGGCCTTGGTGTTGCCACTCCCTCATCGTGCACAAGAGGCAGCTGCCTCAGTTCGCCCTGTGGTCAGGTCAGCCTTGTCAGACAGTCCTCTCACCAGACAGGGCAAGATTGGTGGCACAAGTCCAAGCCCACACCCAAGAGGACTGTCTGCAAATGCTATATGGGAGTTGGCACAAGCCAGTTCCTGCAAACTGCTGTTTAAGAAGTTCAATCATTGGGCCTGGCCTAAATCTCAGCATAACTGTACCAACAGAAGCAATGTCTGCTTTGTGTACCTGTGTCCATTTTGTAAACCTCAATGAAGCAGCTTTTAGCACTAGCACTTAGACTTATTTAAGTCTACATTGCTTTACAACCCTCCCTAAGCAATTAACAGAGTCAGCCTATTGCCCCCCAACAATCTGGGTCCTCATTTTACCCACCTCAGAAGGATGGAAGGCTGAGTCAACCTTGAGCCTGGTGGGTTTGAACTGCCGAATTGCAGGCAGAGGACAGTCAGCAGAAGCAGCCCACAGTACTGCACTCTAACCACTGCGCCACTGAGGCTCTAATCGGTTCTGAATTTTAGGTTCTAATCTATTTTAGACTGTAATCTACTCAATACTCCAGAACTCAGAAGAGATCTCCAAGTCAAATCCTCCAAGGAGGAAACAAGAGAGCAGAGGTGCTGGCACCTCCTTCTTCAAAACTTGTTCTCCTCAGAGAATGATATGAGCCTCCAATATCCAGTCTCCACAAATCCCTTTGCCATTGTCCCTGGTGGCTAAGGCCCATGGGGGCCAAATGTTTTGAGGATATCAAGCTGCTACTATGCGTCCAGAGGGATGAAAGCAAGGAAGTATTAGTCACTTGTTCTTCTAAGTGCCACCAACTCATAAGCTTCAGGCAGGAAGGGGAAATGGCAACCTAGGAACCACCTGGGAAAGGGGGCTTAAATTTCTCGTCCACTCCTGAATCTGTAGGCTGGTTATCTCCTCTGTGGTAGCCGATCCTATTTACAGAATCAGGAGGTCCCAAGCAGCTCAAATCTGGGCTATCCCTAGAATTCAAGGCCAGTGGATCAAAGCCAAGTGCCAGCCTTGGAGAACAGAAGATGCTTCCCCCAAATCCCACTTTGCTTTGGGGAGCAATGGAGAGTGATGAACAAGGACAAGCATCAGTTTGGGATGTGGGCGTTGGACCAGGTGTCTGAGTTGTTGTTGTTTTCCCTCCAATTCTGGCATCGCTAGGACCTTGGAGACTAATTTTAACTGCTCCATCTTCCTTGGGTCCCTCTAAGTTTCTCGCTGGCCTTGCGGCAGGAGGCGATCGGTGGGCGCAAGGTTGCTCTCCAGAGGCGATCCTTTCTTTCCTTCTCTCTCGGCCCCCTTCACCCACTCCGCGCAGCACCAATCCCGGACCACCACGCCTCCTTCGGAGTCAAATAATAATGCTAATAATAATGCTAATAATGCTAATCATCATCATCATCATCATCATCGGCGCGTTTTCCTTCCCAAAGCAAATAGAGAAGGAACCCCCCCCCCCCCCAAAAAAAAAAGGCTGCCAAAGCGCTCCTGACCCATTGAAGCCGACCCAGCACCCCGGAATTGTAGAGACCCCAATTCTGGTCGCTCTCCAGCCAACTTCGCGAGAGACCTGGAAAACAGCCCTCCGGTCGGCCAGTCCCAGAGGGGCAGGGCAGGGCAGCTCAGCTCGGCAACGGTAGAGGGCGAGGGGGGCGTTGTAGCCTTCGGCTCGCTCGCCAACCTTCTCTTCTTCCCTCCCCCCCCCCCGCCCCCACCTCCCGCCCCACACATAAACACACCGCAGTGCGCGTGTGAGGGCAACTCCCCTCCTTTTTTTTTTTTCTTGCTTGAGCGGCCGGTTGGCGGCCGGGAGACGCGAGAGGTAGAGCCGGGGGGGGGAAGCTCTCCGAGTCTCCGCTTTTGTCCCAAGTCGGCAAGGGGATCTTCCCACCGCTTTAGCTCTGCAGCCGTTCCGGCTACAATCTCCCTCCGCCCCGCCCTCCCCTCCACCTTTTCCTCTTCTTCTTCTTTCAAAAGTTTTTCTCGACTTCGGAGCGAACGGGCAAAGGGAGAAAGCGGGGGCTTCGCTGCCTTGAAAAGGGACTGTGGACCAAACTCTCCCTTTGCAAGAAGATTGGCGGTCGCCTTGATTCTTTTTTTTTTAAGTCTTTTTTAAAGACTTCCACCACCACCACCACCACCACCATCTCCGCGATGCAAATGCTGGCGCCGTTCTTCCTTTACGTGGTAGCCTGGGCCACTTTTTGTCCCCAGCAGCAGGGATCCGCCGCCAGCAGCCAGAGCGGGTCGATCAGAGCCTTGCGCGCCTCGAACCGGCGGCGAGATGGTGAGTTGTTCCTTTCTTCACCTATTCCTCACTGATGGGTGAAATTGGCCAGGCGGCCGCCAAAAGCTGAAGGTTGCGGAAGTGCACCCCCTATAAGTTCTCCTGAGAGGTGCACTTGAACGGAGAGACAAAAAGAGTGGGGGAAGTTGTTAGGGTTGGGAGGGCTGTGCAAGCATCTTTTCTTCAATCCTCTCTTCGCTTTTCGGACTGCCTTACATTACCTACAGCCAGTGTAAATGGTCACAGAAGTAAATGCATGGCCTTCGGACTTGAGGTGATGAATTGAAACTTAATATACAGTACAGTGAAAAACTACACAAATACATACCCTGTAGAATAGAGTAGAGTAGAGTAGAGTAGAGTAGAGTAGAGTAGAGTAGAGTAGAATAGAATAGAGTAGAATAGAATAGAATAGAATAGAATAGAATAGAATTCTTTATTGGCCAAGTGTGATTGGACACGGGAAATTTGTCTTGGTGCAAATGCTCTCAGTGTACATAAAAGATACATTAGTCAAGAGTCGAGAATCATAAGGTACAGCACTCAATAATAGTCATAGGGTACAATAAGCAATCAAATCTTACTGGGAAACAGTCAGTATAAATCGTGAGTATACAAGCGACAAAGTTACAGTCATAAAGTTACAAGTGGGAGGGGATGGGTGATAAGGAGTGGGGTTAAGAGTAATAGTAGTGCAGATTTTGTAAATAGTTGGACAGTGTTGAGGGAATTATTTGTTTAGCAATGAATGAAAAGCAATGGATAAGAATAAGAAGTCTTTATTGGCCAAGTGTGATTGGACACACAAGGAATTTGTCTTCGGTGCATAAGCTCTCGGTGTACATAAAAAATACATTCGTCAAGAATCATAAGATGCAACACTTAGTGATAGTCATAGGATACTAAATAAGCAATCAAAATCCTACCTGGAGACTAAATAGACAATATAAATTGTAAAGATACAAGCCACAAGTTTATAGTCATAAGTAGAAAACGAGCTAGGTAATAGGAAGGATGAGAAGAATAATAGTAAAAGTCTTAGTAAACCATTCGACAGTGTTGTGGGAATTAGTTGTTTAGCAGAGTGATGGCACGCGGGGGAAAAACAGTCCTTGTGACTAGTTGTTCTGGTGTGCAGTGCTCTATAACGTCGTTTTGAGGATAGAAGTTGAAACAACTTACGTCTAGGATGTGATGGGTCTATAGATATTTTCACAGACCCTCTTTTTGACTCGTGCAACATATCGTTTCAAAATAACTTGAAAAGAGGTCTGGGTCCCATAAAATGTTACTTTCAAGAAAAGATGCCAATCTTCTGTTAGATGCTCAAGTAAGGATTCCTATAAAGGTGTGTATCATTTCACAGATCCATATTCACCCATGCTGCAGCAAAAGTTGTAGGCACGATTAGCAATCCAGAGGAATATTGCCTAGCAAATCCTGCCCACTCGAGGGAGGCATCCAAAGGAATGCATCTTGCTTAGCATTTCAGGATAATTGGATAAGTGCATCCAGCTTTCGCAAAATCTTTTGGCAGGACCATTTCTCTCTTTTGCATGGAATTATTGCTTTTGTAGAAAGACCAGAATGAAATCAAGGCAGAAATTGTGTCTGGTAAATTAATTGACCTTATTTTAAAAAAAACATGCTGGCAGTGAATTCATGTTTAGGAAAGACATCGCCTGCGAAATTCTTCCTGGCAAATAATATTTGCACATCATGGATACAATTTGAAATGAGTTTATATCATACAGAAGTCCTTTACATGTGAAAAAATCCATGATTATGAAAAGCTGGCTTTCTGTTCTTTAATCAAGACAATCAACAGTGTTATCAAGGGATTAACACATGGGTGGGTGCTCAAACAACCTATATTGTCACCTCTTGGATGTTCAAGACTTCCCACAACACAAAAAAGGATGAAGCAGTCATAGCCTGTGGTTATTTAAAATGCAACATCTCAGTTCTAGTTACTTGCAGTTACTTATTACTTCTTTCAGATGGCAAAACTGGAAAGTGGCGTTTTCAAAAGTTTCAAGAGTTTGTTTCAAACTTGAAATGAGCTAGGTAGACCAATAACTGATAGATTATGTGCCATTAAGTAGTTTTCCCGCTCCTAATTACCAAACAGATATATTTTCTCCATAATGTTCTATTCTTGGTACTTCAGGTCTTCGGACAGTGCTTTGCTGTTAGTCATCCCCTTCTTCTCTCTCCTTTTAACTTAGCATTGGAACTTTCTCTAGAGAGCTCAGTCTTTGGTTGATTTGTTCAATGATCCATTGTCTTGTTTTCCTGGCTGTTCACGGTATTCTCAGAAGATTTTTTAAGAGGCATCCACAGTTCAAGAAATATACTTCTACTTGTAGATAACTCCTACTGTGCACAATAGAATGCTATCTATATTACCAATCACAAGGTATAAAAGTACAAGTAGGTTTTCAAGCTTCTCAGAACACTTCAACAGACAAGATGTTATTAAAAAACAAAGAACAAAAAAGTAGCCTGCGAAGAATGTATAAAATGTTTGAGCTATTGAATGTAACTAATTTCTGAGACCAGAAGCCCTGGAGACAGTTGCTAAAGTAAGTTGCATCCGGTTTTACAACTTTTTTTTTGTGATGATTGTTAAGTAACCATTACAGTCACTAAGGGGAAAGAAAATCTGCCTCTGCCTACAAGCATTCATAGGTATTCATCTGGCTAGCGTCTTGTCAGTGTGTGAGAGAGTTGAGGTCTATTTGGAAAGTGAAACAGTATTTCCTGTGTGAGCAAGAAGGAGAGAGCAAGGAGTCTGGATGTGGCTTGGCTCACCTGTTCTGTACTAAAGCTGCTTGGTGCTGTGAAACTAAATCCGAAACTCCTCCCCTCTGCTTGTGTTTTGCATTTGGAACAGATTTCTTTTCAGGTGGGGAGGGGGAGTAGAACTCCTTAGCATCAGAGCGTGTTAATAATAATATAGGAAATACTAATGCTCTGATGGTCATTTCAAAAAATCCTTTTTAGTGAGTGCCAAGAAGAACATACGTGCCAAATTTCAAGATGCGTGAGTGGTATTTCTCTCTCTCTCTCTCTCTCTCTCTGTGTGTGTGTGTATGTGTGTGTGTGTGTGTGTGTGTGTGTGTGTGTGTATGGCATTCGGCTTTGTTCAGGTATTTTCCCACGTCATAGTAGTTGTGCTTTTAAAGTTGTAGCAACGTTTCGGCAGAATCTCATCTGCCATCATCAGGCTTCTGTAGAATTGTACCGAAACGTTGCTACAGCTTTAAAAGCACAACTACAATGACGTGGGAAAATACCCGAACAAAGCTGAATGCCATACACACACACACACACACACACACACACACACACACACCTTTACTATCATATTGAAATAGATATCTTTATATGAAAATCAAGTAGTATATGAAAATAGATGTAACCCTGGAATTTTGCATCCATCATACATGCCACTTGCCAGGCACCAAAATTATAATTATGCCATCAGGTCATATGTGGGAGGACCGATCATAAGTCACTTTTTTCAGCACTGTTATATCTTTGAATGGTCACTACATGAATGGTTTTAAATCAAGAACTATCTGTAGTTTGTTTTAAAAAAGGACAATGGAAATGATTGGGAAATGAGTGAATCAGTGACTATTACTTCAAACGGCAGGATAATACTAGGCTAATGCTAGAAGTGATTGATATTTCTGGATAGCCTACCTGCTGGGAGAAATGGGCTCATTTTGTGGAATAACTAATTCACTGCTGGACTGGACTAGACAGGCCTTTGTCTGATCCAGCAGGAGGCTTGCTGCTATGTATGTTTCTTTGCCAAGTATCCTTCATCATCCATGTTGCCCACAAGAGATGTCAATTTTAGTCTACAGGAGTTCAACCTCCTCTCTATGCTCAAAAATAGTATCTTGGTGCAGAAAACTAATCCTATGACTGGATGCCCAGATATTTAATCTGTGGGCAATTATATTTCATTTGCAGAGGACATTCAACTATCTTATTTAATAGCTAAGTATCAGGCAGAAATCAAAAATTCAGAGTCAAGAACAGCTTAAATTTGTGCTAGAGAAATTTCTCCCCCTGTCTTGTTTTTTTATTTGCTTAAGCTGAAGGAGGGAGTGACAGAAAGCAGCTCAGCATTCAAGATCCGCCCCTCCCACTGCTAAATTGACCTACCCTGCTGGATATCTGAATATTCAAATGTCAAGACTTGGAATAAACTAAACTTACAACATAGTTTTTCCTTTTCCTCCTTGCAAATCTACACTGAGATCTCTGCAGCTGCAGTTTTGTGGCCTCGTAAGACTAAGATTTCTACTGATTCAAATGATTGTTTCTTTTATTTTTCTTATGTGTACCCATTTCATGTATTCATAACTATATATATATACTTATACCTATTATCTTGTAAGCGATTGACAAATCAAATAAATCAAATAAATAAATAAAAATAAATTTAAAAACCCCACTGGATTTCTCTTGGTTAGGGAAGCAGGCAGTTTTAAGTAGACAATGAACATGGAGGGGAATACAAGCGGTGAATATAAATTTTGCCCTCCAGTTGTGTAAATGTTTTTTTCAAAGATTTACAGCTGCAAACAGCTGGACCCTTAACACTTCTCCTTAGCAGATGTTTACAAAGGGAAGTGCTTGAAGAAATAATACCAAGGAAGTTCTTCAATTGCTGCAGAAGGTATATTATCTTTCCTTCAGTCAATCTGACAGTTAATTAATTTATAGAGTAACAGAATTGGAAGGGACCTTGTAGGTCATCTAGTCCAACCCCCCCCCCAAAGCAGGAGACCCTACACCGTTTCTGACAAATGGCAGTCCAATCTCTTCTTGAAAGTCTCAAGTGATGATGCTCCCACAACTTCCAAGGGCAAGCTGTTCCATTGGTTGATTGTTCTCACTATCAGTAAGTTTCTCCTTATTTCCAGGTTGAATCTCTCCTTGTTCAGTTTCCAACCATTATTCCTTGTCGGGCCTTCCGG